GGCACCCCCAAAAGTTCCCTGTGTCCTTTCCTGGTCAACACTTCCAAGGAAAAATTATTCTTGCCTTTTTCACCATAGATTAGCTTTGGCTGTTCTTGACCTTAATATAAAAAAAATCTAATAGTACATATCCTTTTCTGTCTGGCTTTCTGGTGACAGAAATAGTGGTTTATGAGGTCCATTTACACTGATGCAGTAATCAGTAATAAAAGGTCCTCCCTTTTATTGCTGTGTAGTATTCCATTGAGTGGTTGTGCCACAGTTCACTCATCCATTTCTCTCCTGTGGACACCTGAGTTGTTTCCAGTTTTGAATTATTATGAAAAGGCCACTATGAACATTTTTGTATCAGCATTTTTGTGTAAATGTGTTTTCATGTCTCTTGGGTAAATACCTAGTGTAGAATGGCTAGGTCATAGGGTAGGTGTGTATTTAACTTTCTTAGAAATTGCTAGTGTTTACAGAACATGGTGGTGCACACGTGTAATGCCAGCACTTGGGTGGCAGAGGCAGGAGGATTGTGAGATCTAGGCTAGCCTCTGTCTCACCCCTCCTCACCCACAAAAAGAAATTGCTAGTTTCCCAAAGTGGTTGTGTTGTTTTTTGTTCTTTCCAGAAAGGCGTGAGAACTCTAGTCCCTCTACATCTTCGCTAGGCATGTCACCTTTAAACTGTGGCGCCCTCTACTGTGTAGGAGGTATTATTGTTACTCTTAGGGAAAAGACTGTGTGGGGATTAATACAGACCATGGGGCCTGAGTCTTGTTTGATTCATTCTTCTGCACTGAGCTCAACATATGACCTTGAGTAAGCGAGTTAATTCCTCTAGTCTCATTTCCTGCATCTGTAAAATGGAGCTGTCAACAGCAGCTCTCTCAAAGAGTGCTTTTGAGGGTCGAATGAGGAAAATGCCGTAGATCCCATAGCCCAGGGCATTGCACACAGTTAGTGCTCAGTTAATGATTGCAGGGGTCTTGTGTATTTTTTTTGAGGGGTAGGAGGTCTGCTCTTTAACAGTCCCCGCTGGAGAGAAATATCTCATCTCTGTCAGAGCCCTGGCACAGCCCAGGGATTCTGATCTGTTTTCAGAGTAGGAATGTCTACCTTCTTTGATCAGAAACATCTTTACTTCCCCAAGGCGGGGCCCACATCCAGGATGGTAGAGCAGAGAAATGGAAAGACTTAAGTTTTGGTGAGCTTCTGTAAGAACCAACATGATACTCACTTACTGCTGGACTTCTGGTTCTAATTAGGTGAGCGAGTGTTTCCTGTTTCCTTATTGCTTAGATTGGTTATTTGCAACTCAAACATCCTGACCATGCACTAAGTGCTCCCAGTGTCCTCTGGAGCCTGGACTTGCTCTCAGCATCCTTAACTCTGGCTTCGGACTGACAGACCCAACTGATCACCAGAGGCTGATGTTCTAGCAAAAGCCTGTTTGCCATCCTTGATAATGTCAAGACACCTTTTGTGCAGCTGAAATTAAATCCTCTGAAGGGCAAAGTAAGAGGCTGATCGCTCAGCCATAGATCACAAAGCTTTATGTAATTTGCTGCCACCCACCAAGAAATCATCTCTGGCAGCAGCAACTCAAGATAGGGGGCAACCAGTAGCACTGGATTTTGTTTGTTGTTTAAAAAATATTTCTTGCTTTCTTCTCATGAACCACATATGGTCTGTTGTAGGGAACACCAAAGCAGTGAAGCAATGTTCCAGATTGCCAACTTGGTGGAGGGGAAGAGATATCATTTCTGAAGACAAAAGTATTTCATATTCCATGGTAAAAGCAATATTTTTTTTACTTTTTATTGTAGTGCAATGAATAATATATGTGTGGCAAAGTGCACAAATCTTAAATGTGCAACTCAATGAATTTTTAAAAAGTGAACACACACACCCATGCACTCAGCAGCCAGGTTAAGGAACAGAACAGTATCAGATCTCAGAAGATTCATTCCTCTTCTCAGTGAACAACTTCCCACTTCAGAATAACCACTATCCTGACACCTTTCACCACACATCCACACATTAGCAATTCTCTTTGCTTGATTTGAACTGCATATGAATGGAATCACCTTTTTGTCTCTGGCTTCTTTGGCTTATCATTGTCTGTGAGATCCATTCATGTTGCTGTTTGTGGCTGTAGGACTTTTGTTATATGACCACAACATAATTTATTTATCCCTCCTTCTGGTAATGGATTTTTGAATGTTTCCACTTTGGGTTAATACACATATATAAGTTTCTCTTGAGTGTGTATTTGGAGTGAAATTGTTGGATTTTGCAATATTTAAAAATTCAGCTTTATAAGGTAGATATTCTGATTTTTCATTTGGCAATATTCCTTTTTTTTTTTAATCAATGACATTAGGAATTCTTTTTTTTTTTTTTTGTGGTCCTGGGGTTTGAACTCAGGGCTTTGCACTTGCTAGGCAGGCACACTACCACTTCAGCCACCCCTCCAGCCCTAGAAATTCTTCTTTACATAAAGGAAAAAAGCAAGGTAAAAATATAAAACATGATTCAGAAGTAAAATGCTATTATCTTTAACAACAGAATCTGGATACATATTTAGGAGTTTGAAGACAAGGCTACCTCCACACATATTGTTAATCAGAACTGATCTCTATAGAGAACCCACAAATGATGGTGTGATGTGTTAGAAATAAACAAAGCTTCAGGCTAGGGATGTAGCTCAGTGGCAGTATGCATGTTTAGGATGCACAGAGCCCTGATTCAATCTCTAGCACTTGCTAAAAATAGAATAAACAAAACTGTACACTGGTTGCTGTAGACCGAATGCTGTGTCTCCCTAAGGTTAGTATGTTGAAATCCTAACCCTAGGGTGATCATATTATGGGTGTAGTCTTTGGTAGGTGGTGAGATTGGAGGTCCCATGAATTGAATGAGTGCCCTTATGAAAAAGATAGTGGACAACTCCCTCACCCCTCCTGCCACGTGACATAGTGAGAAGGTGGGTTTCTACAAACCAGGAAGTGGACTCTCAATAGACACTAAACCTACCAGTGCTTTCATCTAGACTTTTTAGGCTCTAGAACTATGAGAGATAAATTTCCGTGTGTATAAGCAGTCCAGTTGATGGCAGTTTTTTGTTTTGTTTTGAGATAGAGTCTTGCTACGTAGCCCAGGCTGGCCTGGAAGTCAAGATTCTCCTGCTTCAACTGAAGCCAATAGGAGAAGAGGACCAGGAACTAGAGAAAAGGTTAGATCAAAAAGAATTAACCTAGAAGGTAACACACATGCACAGGAAATCAATGCGAGTCAACTGCCTATATAGCTATCCTTATCTCAACTAGCAAAAACCCTTGGTCCTTCCTATTATTGCTTATACTCTCTCTACAACAAAATTAGAGATAAGGGCAAAATAGTTTCTGCCTGGTAGCGAGGGGGTTGGGGGGGAAAGGAAGGGGGGCGGAGGGGGTGGTAAGGGAGAGGGTGGGGGCAGGGGGGAGAAATGACCCAAGCATTGTATGCACATATGAATAATAAAACAATAAAAATTAAAAAAAAAAGATTCTCCTGCTTCAGTCTTCTCAGCACTGGGACTACAGACATATAGTGCTGTACCAAGCTTATGATAGTTAGTTATAGCAGCTCAAACACAAAGACACTGTTAAAGTGGCAATGACAGTGGCAAGGTACTATTATAGTGGGAAAAAGATTCCAGGACAACTGAATTTTGATTTGCACAGAATTGGATAGGCATTTTAACGAGAGAATAAGAGACTGGAAGCGGTGTGTGTGGGGGTCAGTAAGAGTCAGGAAAGTCAATTACAGAAAGCAGGAAGATGGTGTGTGTGAAACAGCCAGGTGGTGCTTATTGAAGTTAACCTCCTGCCATCCGCAGAGGCTGAGAGATAGCAGCCCTATCTTCGGATCTCAGCTGGAACAAACTGAGTTTCTTTGGCAACCTTGAGTTTTCTTCAGCAGGAGTATTAAAAGGGACAGGGTCACCCTAGGGAATGTGGCCTTGAGCTGTTAGAAACCGTGTTAGTGTTTTGTTCTTTATCAAAGACACCTAGGCTGAGACCTAGTTAGAAGGGGGATGAGAAGAATCTGCCTAGAGTTTGGCAAGGAAAGAATTTGTATCAGAGGTGAGAGAAGCAGAGCTGTGAGCATGAGGAAAGAATTGCTTCTCTCCTCTCTGTCACCACTCACTCCATTCCCTAGACCAGGAAAAATCTCCCCTCAGTCTTTGGACAGCCTAAGTCCTACTCATCCTTATGGCTCAGTTAAAGTGCCCCTTTCTGCTTGGACCCTTAAGTCTTCCCATTTGCCTAAAGAATAACTTTTTTGTTTCCTTTGCCAGCCTGAGAGCTCTACAAGGGCTGGGATCTTGTCTGTTGTGGATGCCACCATGTCTTCAGCATTTTTACAGCATTGGAAAGGCTCTCTATAAGGGTAAGAAATCTCTCTGGCTGGGCGCAGTGGTGTGCATCTGTAATCCCAGCTACTCGGAAGCAGAAGATTGGGAGAACGGGGGTTCCAGACCAGCCTGGGGGAAAAGTTAGTGACATTTCATCTCAATCAACAAGCTGGACATGTTGTGCACGCCTGTGATTCCAGCTACATGGAACAGGTAGGAGGATCGCAGCCTCAATGGAAGACTATGTAGAAAATAACTGAAGCAAAAAGAGCTGGGGGCGTGACCTGAGTGTAGAACACCTACTTAGCAGGCACTGAGTTCAAATCCCAGTACCGCCACTATGTCACATGGCGGAAGGGGAAGGAGAGCTATCCACTACCTCTTACATAAAGGCACTAATCCATTCCCGTCTGGCGCAGGAAATTTGGAATCGCTTTCTCTAACCATGTGGCAGGGGTGAGGGCGGTGGCCCGGGTTGTTCCCTGAGTGACAGCTCAGGTTCAGACCCCGCCCCCAACCTCCCCTATGTCCTTGTCCTCCCTCACGGGTCTCCGTAAAGTTCATTTGACGGCGCGCCGCGCGGGGCCTTCTGGGAGCCGCCCGTTTCAGGCCAATCAGGAAGCGCGGGCGAGCGGCGCGAGAAGCAGCAGACGCGTTCTCAAGCCGGAACTGGGGCGCCTGGGATCGCTGCAGTGCCAGGTAAGGGCTGTTTCTGGTGGCCGGCATGTCTCTCCTACCCGGGGCCGTCCTTCGACCTGGGACCCCGGGGCTGGGAGAAGCCCCGTCCCTACGCTCCGAGCCATGTCGCTCACACCTTCGTTCTCATGGCAGCCGGGCACGCCTGACGCCGGCCACCCAACGCCTGTCGAACCGCCCCGCATTGTAGCGTCGGGCTGTGCCCGGGAGTGCCTGTGTCTGTCCTTTCCGAATGCGCGGCCTGGGCCTCCCGACTCCTGCTTCCCCACGCGAGCCCCGTGCCGCGCCACGCCCCTCCCACGAGCCCACCTGGCTCGCGTCCTCAGTGAAAGGGCCTCATGACCCCCCGGAGCGCGCCCTGTCAGCTCGCATGCCCCTCGCTGTCCCCCACCCGGAGGGAAGGGGTCTTCGGGAAGAAGGGAGGGACCCGCGACCCTGTCCCCTGTACTAGCATCCCGCAGGGACACTAGTGATGAAACCCGGGGTGGTTCACCTTTCTCTGGGCTCACTGCAGCTTGCTCTCTGTAATAGCGATGCCCAAGGATACTTTTTAAAAAAAAAGTACCGGGCCGACGGGTCCTTGGTCAAGGTTTGGATGCTCTCTGCTGCCAGTTTGCCCCTCTTCGAGTGGAAGTTACACCTCCTCCCCACGAGATATCTTTCAGTACAAGCAGAGGTCACCTTTTGTGTTCTCTCTGGAGGGGTACTGTACCCCCAAGCCTGTAACAGTGCCAAGAACATTTATCTAGTTCATATTTACCCTCGGGTGTTGAAGCTGAATTTGAAGCAGATTCGATGTGCATTTGTGGTTTGGGCATCTTCATCTTGGTCTTACTCAGTTTTAAAGACCTTTTTATTAGGTTAACATGCCATTTTTGTATCTATGATTTAGACCTCTCTCCCTGACCTTATTTAGCTACCTTCTTAACTCAAACTGAACATAGAGCTAGCAAGCTCGCCTCCATTTCTTTACCCAAGCTACTCATGCCATTTCTTTTTGATCTCAATGTAAAAGGGTCTGGTCACTTATCCTTGAGTCGTCCTTGCCACATTCAGTGCTTACTGCCCTGGGCCAAGTCATCACCATGTCTCACGTGGAATATCGAAATAGCTTCCATCTAGTTACCTTGCTTTTTTCCCCGGTCCCTGTTTTTAGCATAGCAGCTAAAGGGATCATTAGTTCATTATCCCCTCTTTTGAAAAGCCTGGAGTGGCAGTGCCTGCTTGTAATCCCAGTGCTTAGGAGGCTGAGACAAGAGGATCACATTTGAGGCCAGTCCCAGCTAGAAAGTGAGACCTTGTCTCAAGAAGAAAAAACAAAGCAAAGCAAGCAAACGAACAGGAAAATCCCCAAATGGTGGGTCCCCCTCTTATTAACAATAGTAGACAAACTCCTTACAGCGAAGTACAAGGCTTTGCATGACCTGACCTGCTAATTTCTCACTCTCAGAGCCTTAGGGTCTCCGTGCTTGCAGTTCCATATCCATGTGACTGGCTCTCTGCTTTCAGATGTTCACTTGGGGATCACCTAGTGAGTGAGGCTTTCCTCAACTCCTGTCTTCCTTCACAGCTTTAGTTGTCCTTAGCACTTATGTTTTACTTACTTGTCTTGAATATTGTTTGTTTTCCCTGGTAGAATGTGTGTGGATTTTTCATGGTTTTTTTTTTTTTGTTTTTTTTTTTTGCAGCTAGGCCTGACACTCAGTAGGTGTTCAATAAATATGAAGTAGATGAATGTTGGTTGTACTGTTACAGGTTGAGGACACGGTGGTGAATGAGACAGGCTTGTTCCCACTTAACGGTTACTCCTATGGAAGATGCCATAGCAATAAACACACGAGTATAAAGTGTGGTGTCTGGGCTGTTTTTAAAGGACAGGGGTATTTGGCAGAGACTTTAAGGAAATGAGAGAGTAAGTCATGGGAATAGTTGAGAAAAATTCCTGGCAAGGGGGATGGGAATGTGGTGAGCTTGTGTGATTGGACCTGCTTGTTGTTTGTTTTTGAGACAGGGTATTGCTGTGTAACCCAGCTTGGCCTCCAACTTGCTCTCCTCCTGCCTCAGCTTCCTAAGTGCCTAAACCTGGTTCTTCATGGACTGAAATAGAAAATAAGGTAGAGGGAAAGATAGGTGCCAAGGAGTAAAAAAAATCTGGAAGTGAGCGAGTTCAAGGTATGTTCAAGGAGTAGGTACTTTAATTCAGCAATCCAATATTTGGTACCTATTATATGCCAAACTTAGCTGCTGAGGATTCTGGAGTGGCACATCATTGGATCTTATCCTACAGGAATTTGCCATATAGACAAAGACATGCTTGGGAAGAAATGATCACAATTACTCCCTTAGGGAAGAATTGTATAGATGGTTCAGAATAGTGAGTGAGGGAGGGGTTTGGGGAAGGTGTACTCTGCAGCATACATAGGAGCTCCCCATATGTCCAGGTGGGGATGAGTATGTGTTACAGCAGAGTATACACATGGGGTGTGAAGGGAGGAAGTCGTATGAGGCACCCCAAGGAATAGAGAATTGGGTAAGGTGGTAAGAGATGAATGAGGATGGTATGTGATAGTGTCTGTTCTATGGAGGACACCCTGTATAGCTGTGTCAAAGCATGAGCACTTCTTCCTGTAGGGAGTGGAAAGCATCTCTGATGAGCTTAAGGCAGGGAGGTATTTCAGAAAGCTCTCTCTGGTCATAGGAAGAATGGGGTGGAAAAATGAGAATGCTTAGACTAATGAGGGGATCAGGAGAAAAGAGATGGGAGTTTGACTTTGCAAAAGGAGGTGAAAAGGGAGCCAGGTGACTCCAAGTGGCTTCTGGCTGAATTGACTTTTTTTTAACAAAAGAGAGTGGAGAAGGAAATGGAGTGGAGGAGATCAGTCAGGTGGACAATTAGAAATGATTGGTTCAGGGAGAGTGTTGGGCTAGACATAGAGATATGAGAGTTGCATTTATTTTGATGGCTTAGAGTCCTCCTAGCTCATTCATTTGTTTTATATTAATTAATACCTATTAATAACTCTATCCATTCTTCCCGAAATAGCCTAAAGCTCGAAATCCGTAACTACATGGTTGCTACCAGAATAACTTTTCTCAGCCCCTGCCAAAAAATGTCTAATGACTCCTTATTTCCTAAACTCCTAAGGTCTACTGAAGGTATAGCTTTCTTCACTCCCTCCCTACCTCCCTTCTTCCTTTTCTCCCTTCCTCCCTCCCCCACCTTCCTCCCTTCCTGCCTTCTTTTTTCCTTCTAACGATATTTATGGAACATCTATGGTATGCTAAGCACTATTTGTTCATTGCACTAGGAGTTGGTGCTGTGGACAAGCCAGACCAAGTTTCCAGACTCAAGGAGCTTGTATCTGTTTGTTAGAGACAAACAATAGATGAATAAATAAATAAGACATATGATTTCTGCTATTGATACGTGCTTTGAAGGGGATGAAACAGGGAAATGTAAAGTGAATGGTGGGACTGCTTTAGCCGATATGTTCTGAGAAGCTTCATTAAAAAGGAGATGTGTAAACAGACCTGAATGAAATAAGGGCTGAGTCACATAGATATTTAGGGGACTGCAGATGCTGAGGAAACAGCCAATGCAAAAGCCTCGAAGCAGCTGTATATATTTGAAGAAGCGACTGGAGGCTGTGGCTGACACACATAATCATGGGGAAGAGTGGTATCAGAAGAGTTGGTGCACAGGACAGATCTTGTAGGCTTCACAGCACAAGGAAGGACTTGGGACTTTTTTTTTGGTGCTGGAGAGTGACCCAGAGTCTCACACATGCTAGTTAAGCACTCTGTCTATTAAGCTACATCTTCAGCCCTTTTTAAATTTTGAGACTGGGCTTGCTCAGTTGCCTAAGCTGTCCTGGAATTTAATGGTCCTCTTATGTCAGCATCCTGAGTAGCTGGGATTATAGGCAGCAACCGCTATGCCGTGCTGAATTTTAGTTTATTCGTGATGGGAGCTATTGAGCCTTTTAAATATTTATATTTTTTTGTGGTGCTTAGAACTGAACCAGGGCCTTGTGCATGCTAGGTAAGTGTTTTACTGAACTACTACATCCCCAGCTATTGGTGGGCCTTTTCAAAGGCTCATTCCTACTGCTGGGCAGAGAACATACTGAGGTGAGAGACTGGACAAGATAGGATCAGGGAAACCAGTCAGGAGGCTACTGTGTCACCTATATATATGTGAGTGGCTTGGAGCAGGATGAAGAGACCATGAGTGGGTTGGACTCATGAATCTAGTTTAAGAATAAGTTTAGTGTAGACATGAATTGCTAATGTAGAGGATGAGAAGAAAAAAAAGTCAAGGGCAATGCCTAGGTTCTAGACTTGAGGTAGGAAGACAAGGAAAAAAGCAGTTTTGGATACCAGAAGGCTGCCATAAGAATGGCATTAAATTATACAAATAAAACTCATGGCAGGCACTGGCACACAGCCAGAGCTCAGGATTGAGTTGTTCCCATTGTCTTTGATACGTACTTTTCCAAATAAATGGAATTGAAAGGAATTTGGGGGGGTGTTTTTGTAAAATGGATATTGAGGCAAACCATTTGGTTTTCTGTTATTACCTGAGGTTGTTTAGTTTATAAAGAAAAAGACATTTATTTAGTTCTAAGTTTTGGAGGCTGACAGTCCAAGCTCGGGCAGCCGCATGATTCAGTCTGTGGTGAGGAATCTTGGCAGATGGCATAATGGTGGAAATTCTGAAAGAAGGAAACATCACAAAGCAAGACAGGAGAGTAGGGAGGGACTTCCCATTAGACTACCTCTTAAAGGTCCTATCAACTGTTAACGTCTTTACATTGGGGGAGGAGCTGGGTGGAGCTTGGGTGCAGTAAAAAGTTGGTTGGGTCTTTCTGTTTGGGAAAAATGCCACAAACAAGGGAATAATACAGGGCATATATAGGATGTCATTAGCAGTAAGTCAGGTGATTGGTTTTATTTGGGATGTAGAAAGTCAAAAGCAGTATCTCATCTGAATCCTTGTGAGG